ATGTTTACTCAGAACTTTTTCAGACAAAAATACATAACTTTTTAAAGTTTTGGTAATAGATGAATCATGAATTACAAATTGATAATGAGTAACTAAAAGAAATAAACAATGTTTCTCTAACAGCAATTTTGGCTCATAAAACCGAACATGAAAAGTAATCTAGGTATGGTGGTAGATGACTATAATCCCAGTGCTTGGGAGGCTGAGCCAGGAGGATTGCCATAAATTTGGAGCCAGCCTGGCATACACAGCAAGACCTTGTCTCAAAAAAAAAAAAAAATTAAAAAGAAAACCCGAAAAATAGAACAAGCCAAGGCCCACATTTTGCACTGGCCTTGGGCTTGGCTGGATCTGCGGTTCACAGTTTTTCCCACCAGGCTCCTCATTACTTTTCTTGGCCGCATCTCCTCTGTGCTGGTTCCATCAGGCATGCTCACCCCTCACTCACTGCCACTCCAGCCTCTGGGCAGGTGGCTGCTGCAGTGCTGGGCATTGCCCCACTAGAAAGACCCCTTCTTTCTAGGGAAGCCTTCAAAACTCCCCAGGATTCATCCAAGTTGGCTCTGCTTGGCTAGGGGTGACCAGCTCCAAATGAATCACTGTGACTCCGGCTACCCTGAGAGCCTGGGGGCAGCAGTGGGAGAGCAATGGTTGCTCAAAGAAAAGTTACTGGATGAGATGTGGATGGTTTCTAGGTAGGTGTCTTAGTCCCGTCAGGGCTGCCATAGGCTGGAAGTCCAAGGTCAAGGCTCTGGCAAATTTGGTGTCCAATGAGGGTCCCCTTTCTGGCTCATAGATGAGCCCTCTGTCTGGGTTCTCACATGGAGTGGGTGTGAAGGAGCTCTCAGAGGCGTTTTATATGGGCACTAATCCCATTTGTGAGGGAGGGCTCCGCACTCACGACCCAGTCACCTTCCAAAGGCTCCCACTTCCTACTACTATCATAGCAGGGGTTCAGATTTCCATGTATGGCCAGGTGTGGCAGTGCACGCCTGAAATCCCTGCATTCTAGGAGGCTGAGGTATGAGGGTCATGACTTTGAGCCCAGCCTAGCAACTTAGCAGCTTAATGAGACTCTGACTCAAAACAATAAAATGAAATAAAATAAAATGGCTAGGGATATAGGCCAGTGCAAAGGCTCTGTGTTCACTCCCTGTACCAAAAAAGATTTCAGGCCGGGGATTTAGCTCAGTGGCACACCTGCCTCGAAAGCGCAAGGTCCTGAGTTTGATCCCTGGTACCACACACACACACAAAAAAGAGATTTCAACATATGAATTCTGAGGGGACACAACCGTCCATTCCCTAACTACAGACAAAAACAAAGGTGACCTCGAGCCCTCTGCCCCTGTGTATTAGGGGCTCGGCCAACACCCCCTTCCCTCTCCCCAGGATTTGACTGCATTGAGAACCTGGAGGAGTACACGGGTCTGCGCTGTCTCTGGCTGGAGTGCAACGGAATACAGAAAATCCAGAACCTGGAGGCCCAAACTGAGCTGCGCTGCCTCTTCTTGCAAATGAACTTGCTTCATAAAATTGAGAACCTGGAACCTCTGCAGAAACTGGATTCTCTGAACCTCAGCAACAATTACATCAAGACCATCGAGAACCTCTGTAAGAGCCTCCGCCAACTTTCTCTCTGCCTTACAGCCACCTAGCCAGGAAAGGAGAATCTCTAGGGGTTTATATCATAGGCAAGAAACGTTTTCAGCCCTCAGTTGCTCACTTCTGCTGTGCTCCCTTCCAGCGTGCCTCCCAGTCCTGAACACACTACAGATCGCCCACAACTGCCTGGAGATGGTGGAAGACATCCAGCACCTAAAGGATTGTTTGAAACTTTGCGTCCTTGACCTTTCCCACAATAAGCTGAGCGATCCAGAGATCCTGAACATCCTTGAAAGCATACCTGATTTGGTAAACGCAAAACAGATCCAACTTGCATTATTTTACCACCATTATTTTAACCACCAGTCTCATTTCCTTCATTCCTCCCACCCACCCTTGCTTCTGTGCTCCTTTTCTTTCTTTTTTCCTTCCTCTTTCATATTCTTTCATCTTTGTGTTTTTAGCTGGAGCATCTTAAATGTCACCTGTCATGTAACCCACAAATATTTTAGAGTGTCTCTGATAGATAAGGACTTTTTAAGCATAGTCAGAATAACGGTATTGTATTTAAAACATATTGATCACACCCAATACCTCATTTATGTTCAGTTTCCCCCATTTATCTTAAAAATATGTTTTGACAGTTGGGTTGTTGAAATCCAAACCAAATGTAGTTGTTGTCCCTGGGTTACTTGTCAGCTTGGTCCGTCTTGGTCTGTGACAACTTCCCTTCCCTGTTTTCTCCTCCTCTCATTCATTTGTAGAGAAATTGGGGCCCTCCGTCGAGCAGCTTCCCACCTTCTGGATTTGGTTGGTCGCACCCTCATGGTGTCATTTGACATGTTCTGCTGTCCACAATATTTCCCATAAAATGATGAAGTCAGAGATTTAATTAGCTCCTGGTTCAGTGTTCTCCATCGCACCACACTGGTGCATCTGGTGTCCACTGTATAGTGGGTACAGATTTGCACTTGGTCAGGTCATCAGGAAGCTCCCATCAACCTTTCTCCTGTTTGGCAGCCAGTGAGGAGCCCTGGATGTGCTGTTTCATTAGGACTCCACAGTGACCTTTTCTAATTCTTATTCCTTCTGCATGGAACAGTTGGGATGCTTCTACAAAGAACTTTCACCCATCAGAACCGGTTTACACTGAAAAGACCAGGATAAATGTTTGAGTCTTTCATTTTACCTTACTCATTTTTAGCAAACCAAGTTGAGATTCTCAACCTCTAATTGTGACCCCAAAGGGTTCTCCTTTGTTGTGGTCACTGTGAGTTCATGGATTTTGATGCATAGTATCTTGCTCTCACTTTAAGTTTTGATGTCCAGGTTTCCCCATCTATATTAGCCAGCTTCCCCTATGACTGGGACACAATACTGACACCCACCATTTAAAGGAGGAGAGGTTTATTTCAGCTCACAGTTTCTGTCCATGGCCACCTGGCTCCAAGGCAGAAAGATCATGGTGAAAAGGGGCTAGTGTAAAAAGCTGATCACTCCATGGCAGCCAGGAAGCAGAGAGAGAAAACAGGAGCCAGGGATGAGAACATCCCCTTCCAGGCCACACCCTCAGCAACTCGGCCCTTCCAACCTGGCCCCCTCTCCAAATGTGAGACTTTTGGAGGACATTTTAGATGTAAAAGCCTCAGCAGGTGGGTTCCTGTATCCTTTTGACTCGATTCCAGTGGCCTTTGACAGCTTCCTTGCTTTTTAGTGTGTTTTTAGCTGGAGCATCTTAAATGTCACCTGTCGTGTCACCCACAAATATTTTAGAGTATCTCTGATAGATAAGGACTTTTTAAGCATAGTCAGAATAACGGTATTGTATTTAAAACATATTGACTGCACCCAATACCTCGTCTATGTTCAATTTCCCCCATTTATCTTAAAAATATGTTTTGATAGTGTGTATGTCTTAAAAATACAAAAACAACCACGCAAAACCTTCGAGTTCACTGTTGACTGCTTAGGGTGGGATGAGTGGAGAGGAAAGTGAGTCCACCTAAAAAAAAAACAGTAAGCAAATTGTAGTTTCAGTTGAATCTGCAGAAGGACCTATCTGGAAGGACCAGCTAGAGCTGCCAGCATTTGGTGATAATATAAAGCCATGTTGCAGGTGGGCATGGTGGCACACGCCTATAATCCCAGAACTCTGGGAGGATGAGGCAGGAATATCACAAGTTCAAGGCCAACCTGGGCAACTCAGCAACTTAGCAAGAATCTGTCTCAAAAATAAAAAATACTGGGTGGAGGGAGGGGGAAGGGAAGAAAAGGGAATGAAAAAAGGAAGTAAAATGTGTTATGTATATACCAGCTTCCCACAAGGAATGACGTAAATATTATGTACTAGACATGTACTAATAAGCTAAAAAAATAAAATGAATAGAAAATCAAAAAAGGGCTAGGGATACAGCACAGTGTGAAACCCATGGGTTTAATCCTCAGTAATGTTAACAAAACTATATTGCTATATTTTTTGCTTTAAATTCTTCTCATGCAACACATCCCTTTACTACCTGGCCCTGGATATTGCCCCTGCCCATGAAGAAAAAGTTCCTTGAAAATTTGGCACAGGGCCGAGGATTTAGCTCAGTGGTTCCACCACCTGCCTCACAAGCACAAGGTCCTGAGCTCGGTCCCTGGTACCAAAAAAAAAAAAAAAGAAAATTCGGCACAGATGGTACCAGAATGGAGTCAAAAATGGTAAACTAACTAGTTTGCAACACATTTATCTTCTGCAGCAACAGAAACCAGTTTAGATGTATGAAAAATATTGTGTTGTTTTGGTTTGGTTTTTGAGACAGGGTCTCAAAAACTTTGTAGTCCAGGCTGGCCTCAAACTTTCAGTGATCCTCCTGCCTCAGCCTCCTGAGTGCTCAGATTACAGGTATGCACTGCCATGCCTGGCTTAGACATGAACAATATTTAGTGTTCTTAGGCAAACAGATTTAAAATGATTCATTCAGTCTTAACCATACACCTTCTTTGAGCTTCTTTGGGCAGATGGGGAGGTTGGCATTTGAAGATGAGGCAGGACAGCATGGCCACTGCTGGGCCTTCCTCTTTCCTGGTCTGTGACCTCGGCCCCATGAGAAAGGCCCTCCATGCTGTGGTGCTCACAGTGGATGAGGACATTTTCCACCCTTCAGTCCCAGCCAGCCGTGGTGGCACATGCTCCTTATCTGTCACCAGTGAATGTCTTCTCAAAATGGGCCCTGGGAGGAAAGAAAACAATCAGTTTTCTGAGATGCACTTCAGTTTGAGATTGGGCAGCAAAACTAATAGAATCCCTGCAATTGGCAAAGGCCTCAGGAAATGTCTTCCAGTATTGCTCGGGAAGGACACTGAGGTCTGAGGCCTGAAGCTCAAGCAGAAGAGAGGGTCGCTCCGTGATCTGGCCAGTTCTAACGGCACTAGAGCGGCAACACGTCCCGATATTGCCAATCAGCATACCGGGACAGGACCTGGCACTTCCATTTTGCTCAAGAAAATATATTGTATTCCCAGCATTCGGGAGGCTGAGGCAGGAAGATCGCTGCAAGTTTGAGGCCAGCCTGGACTACATAGTGAGACCCTGTATTGAGTTATTCTCGGGGCTCGGCACATGTGCTTCATTTTATTTTATTTTGTTTTGTTTTTGTTTTTTGTTTTTTTGGTACCTGGGATCAAACTCAAGACCTTGCGCTTGCGAGGCAGGTGGTGGCACCTCTGAGCCACATCCCAGGCCCCTGCACATGTACTTTAATCCAGTCTTTTTTCAGTTATTAAGTTTGGCTCTGCTTGTGTGCTTTACAGCGTGTGCTGAACCTGATGGGAAACCCTGTTATCAAGAACATTCCAAATTATCGAAGGACAGTCACCGTGCGGCTGAAATACCTGACCTACCTGGATGACAGGCCAGTTTTTCCAAAGGACAGGTGAACAAGGAGAAGCCACTGGGTCATATTTGGATATGTAATGTCAAGTATGCATAATATTAGGCTTTTTACATTTCTGATTTTTGTGTATTTTCACACATCATTATATATTCTTTGGACACAAGTCTAACGGCCACATATCTGCCTGTAATAGAATCCAAGCACTTATTTATAGAATCTTGTACTCCTTTGATAACTGTCCTTGTAGACAAGCTTTTTTTCTTTTCTTTTTTACCTCACTGCTAGATTTCCTTGGGATGGGATTCTGGGAGTGGTGTCACTGGGTTAAAGAATGTCCCTTGAAGCCAGGGGTGGTGGTGCATGCCAGGTAGGAGGATCGAAAGTTCAAACCCAGCCTGGGCAACTTAGCATCTTAGCAAGACACTGTGTCCAAATTTTAAAAAATAAAATAAACTCACTGGGGATACCTCAGTGTAAAACCATTGGGTTCATTGAAGTTAATCCCCAGTAACACACACACATGGTTTGAGAATTTCAAAAAACTCTTACAGTTTCTAATTGTTCTTCAGAGAGTTTGTAGCAGTTTACAATCTAACCACACATAGCCTGTAAAAGAATCTTTGCCAAGTTACTTGCTGAGTGAAAATGGTATCTCATTGTTTTAAGTTTCATTTTTGGTTACCTGATGAGGCTGGTCATTTTCCAGCCCTCCTTTATGAATAGTTCGTTCATGACTTCTCCCCAGTTTCCTTGTTTAAAATGAGCTTTCGTCTGCTTGTTTGTTTGGCAGTACTGGGGATTAGACCCAGGGCCTTGATAATACTTGGCAAGCACTCTACCCACTGAGCTATATCCCTAGCCCAGCCAGGCATGGTGGCACATGCCTGTAGTCCCAGCACTCAGGAGGCTGAGGCAGGAGGACCGTCATGAGTTTGAGGCCAGCCTGGGCTACATAGTGAGTTCAAGCCAGCCTGAACTACAAAGCAAAACCGTGTCTCAAAAAACACAAAACAAAACAAAAAAACCACATACACATACACATATACACACACACAAATACATTCCCAGCTCTTTAAAACTTTTTATTTTTATACAGGATCTCTCTGCGTTACTCAGGTTGGCCTTGTACTTTCGATCCTCCTGCCTTAGCCTCCTGAGAAGCAGCTACTGTCACTGCTTTCACTTGTGTCTTTACCTTTTGATTTAGGTCAGTAGTAATTCTAATTTAGGCTAAAACTGTGTATTAAAGTGGAATGCTTGAGGAGAAATGAAATACAAATTTTGACTCATATGACATTTCAAAAGAAATGTAGCTTGTAATGTGTTTCTGAGCTCATAACTTGAAATCAAACTAACAAACAATTCAAGTAGAAGTTAGAGCCCCTATTCTCCCCAGGTAAGAAAAGCGGAAATCCAGGTGATTGACCATTCCCTGGGCTCCGGGAGGTCTTGGACAGGCTGGCCAGGTTTCCCAGCCGGGCCCCAACCTGGAATGGGGCTCCTAGCAGTGAACCAAGGAGCAGCGCCCTGTGGTTCCCGCCTGAACCCCAGCCAGGCGAGGCTCATGAGAGTTCAGTGCAGACGCAGCCGTGAGCAGTGAGCCCCGCCACCCACACCAGGGTAGCACAGGCTGGCATTGCTCACAGCCGTGTCCCAGTGCCCACCCTGGGTGTCCCCATGCTGTCCTGACGGCTGCAGGTGTGTGCTGCTGTCCTCGGAGGGACCTCATGGCCTGCCACCCATCCTGCATGGCACCTTCTCTGTCTCTTGTCGCCTGGGGATGACGCATCCAGCACTAGCACAGACTCACTTCCTCCTCAAGGCCTGTTCCCCCCCACCCAGCGCACTGCAGGGCAACCCCACCTGGGAGCCCTGGGTGTCAGGGTCACCGTGGCCTCAGCCCCTATCTAGCATGGTGCCCGGTGTCCGCTTGGAGATAAGAGGCTGGGACCAGAACAGAGTCAATTCCTACAGCACATTCTGCCTGGGGGACTTGTGGTCTTCCGCTCTAGTGTACTTCACAAGACCCTGACTGTTTCCAGACTCCCCCCCGCCCCTCCTCCTGTTCTTCCTCCCCCTCTCCCTTCCTCCTCTTCTTCTTCTTCTCCTTCCTCTTCTTTTCCAGTAGCGGGAATCAAACTCAGGGCCTTGTGCTTGCCGGGCAGGTGTGGCACCAGATACCTTCTGTACCTTTGATTTACCCAGTGGGAATCTGTTCCTCTCTGTAAAGTTAAACCTCCTACTTTTAAGCCACTGGACTTAAAAAAAAAACAAACACAACAGATTTATTGAGCTATAACTCATTCCCTATATGGCGCACCCATTTAAATGCAATGGTTCTTAGCGTATCTGCGGAAATACCATTTCGGGGTATTTCATCACCCCGAAAGGAAACACCGTCTCCATTGGCTGCCACTTCCCGTTCCTTCCTCCTCCCAGCCCTGGCAACCCACAGGCCACTTTCTGTGTGCAGATCTGCCTGTTCTGGATGTTCTGTATGGATGGACTCAGCCAGCACACGGCCTCTGTGCCTGGCTTCAATCACACAGCATCATGTCGTCAAGTTTCACTCATGGCACCACACATACCTATGGCTCCATCCTTTTTTATTGCTGTATAACATTCCATCTTGGCCTGCCGCATTCTGTTTTTCCATCTATTGTTGGAAATTTGGGTCTTCTACTTTTTGCCTATTGTAAATAATGCTGCTGTCTCTGTGCACAAGTTTTTGTGTGGATGTAGGCTTCGTTCTTGTGGGCATACAGATAGAAATGCTGGATCAAACGGGAACTCTATGCTTAACTTTTGAGGAGCCGCCAAATTGTCTCCCAAAGCAGCTGTGCCAATGTCGCATTTCTCCCAGCAGTGTGTGCAGCCTCTGGCTCTTCATTCTCACCACACCTGTCACCACCCACCTTCTTACTTGGTCCTCGAAGGCAGCATGAAGTGGTGTCTCATTGTGCTTTTGATTTCCATTTCCCCAGTGGCTATTGTCAAGCATCCTTGGGCCGGGGATCTAGCTCAGTGGTTTTACCGCCTGCCTTGCAAGCGGAAGGACCTGAGTTCGATCCCCGGTACCAAAAAAAAAAAAAAAGAAAGTCAAGCATCCTTTTAGCAGCAATTTGTATGTACTCTTTGGGAAAATGACTATCCAGTTTCTTTGCTCAGTTTTTAAAACAAATAGACTCTCTAAGATAGCACTTTGAGGTTGGCTGAAAAGTTAAGCAGAAAGTTCTCAGGGTTCCCTTGTACACCTGCCCGTTGCCGCCTCCCTGTTACTAACACCTGAGAGTCATCTGCTATACTTTGGGTCTCGCAGCTGACACTTTATTATTCACTGAACTCTACAATGGACGGTACTTATGGGCTCATTCTTTGGGTCACACAAATGCATATCACGTGTGCCCCGTTACAGTACCAGATGGAGTAGTTTCATGCCCAAAAGTCCCTGCAAATCTGACCCATATCCCCACCCAGCCCCCCTGGCATCGTGGTCCTTTAATGTCACCACAGTTGTGCGTTTGTTTTGCAGATGCAGGGAGCTGGCATCTGCAGCATGTTGTCTTTTTTCAGACTGGCTTCCTCCACTTAATAGCAGCTGTGTGGTTCGATAGCTTACTTTTTGTTGTTGAATAATACTGCATTGGCACTGTACCACAGTTTGTCCTGTTGCCTATAGAGGACTTCTGGCTTTTGCCAGTTAGAATAAAGCTGCTGTCAACATCCACATGCAGGTTTTTGTGTGGATGTAAGTTCCTAAATCATTTGTCTTTTGTGCCTTCTGTTTTGATTTTGAAGGAACTGAGCAAGTCTGGTCAGACAGCATCTGCACAGGATTTACCCTTGGGTCTCCCCTGCTTCTGTCTTATTTTCACATGTAGAGCATGCGCAGAGGCCTGGGCCCGAGGAGGGTACACGGCAGAGAAGGAGGAGAGAGAGCTCTGGGAGAGCAGAGAGCAGAAGAAGATCACAGACAGCATTGAGGCCCTGGCCATGATCAAGCAGCGGGCAGAGGAGCATAGGAGAGAGAAAGGCCGAGAGGGAGGTACGTGCTGGCATCCCAGCAGTTCCATGTCAATCAGGCCAGGCTGGGCTGTCAAATTCAGTCTCTAATGTGTAGGATTTTTTTTTTTGAGACAGAGTCTCACTGTGTAGTCCAGGCTGGCCTTGCCCTCATGGTGATCCTCCTGCCTCAGCCTCCTGAGTGCTGGGATCACAGGTGTGCGCCACATCTTCTGGTTTCTGACATCAAAGGGCTCCAGATGAACAGCTGGATGGGCTGTGCCCAGGGCAAGGTGTGGGGGAGGAGCTCAGGGGCATGGGGGCTGCCCCCTCCTGCCACCTCCATGTGCACCTCCCGGAGGTGCTGACCTCAGAGCTCAGGGCTCTTCATGGTGGATGACAGCTCCATCCTGCTGCCTCCCCTCCCTGGAGAACGGAGTGGGAGGGGCGTGCAGCCCTCACCAGATGCCCACCGAGGTCGCCTCACAGGAACAATAGGCGCTCCGGGCCCCCTGGAAGAAAGGGCCTGGGACCTCTGCGGCAGGAACTGGGACCCAGGACCAGGCACTAACTGTGCAGGTGGTCCAGGGTCCAGGCCCAAGGAGCTCCGGGCCGTGACTCCAGCTTCTCGCAGTTCCCACTTAGTCTCATCATAGGTCTGGGGGTGAAACTTCCCCGTGGTCTCACTGGGCACACACAAGGCTGCCTGGGCATTGTGCCCCTTCAGGGGGCCCCGGGAGAATCTCATCTTTTCCAGCTGTGGTGGCAGCCACCTCCCATGGCTCAGGGCCCTCAGAGCCTGCAGTGCAGCATCTCCATGTCTCTGTGCTCACTCTTTGCCCCTCTTGTCTGAGGGGTGGAACCCAGGGCCTCATAGGGCACAGCTACACCCCCAGTCCTATTTTTGCAAAGGTCTTCCTGTGTTGGGCAGACTGGCTTCAAACTCAAGACCCTCCTGCCTCAGCCTCCCAAGGAATTTGAATTTTCTCTTGAACCATTTGGAAGTATAGGCGGACATTGTGGGCTTTAAACATGACGGCTCCTACAGGCGTCTCCTCAGGGCCTCCTGCTGGATGTCTTCTCAACTGCTATGTCCCTTCCATTGAGTAGGCACTCAGTAATCTCTTCCAGGACACTGAGCTCCCTTTATTTAGGTGTGAACCACACTCCCGTGAACATCGCTCTCAGTTGTGTGTGCATGTGTGGTGATACTGGAGATTGAACCCTGGGCCTTTGCGCTGTGCTACATCCCCGTCCCTTTTTTTAATTTTTCATTTTTAGACTGGGTGTCGCTCAGTCACTAAGATGCCCAGGCTGGGCTCAAACTTGTGATCCTCCTGCCCAGCCTCCCAGAGGCTGAGATTACAGAGGTGTGCTCCACGCCCAGCCCTCTGGGTTCTTCCTTTCCTGGATGCCTGACACCTCTGTGCTCAGCTCAGAAGTGCACCACTCTGTGCTCTCCCCACGCTCACCTGTGACATCCTTTGTTCAGGGGTGATGCCACTGGCAGACTGCCGGGAGGGGCAGCAGAACATGGAGCTGTCCCTAGAGGAGGCCCTCGGGGAAGAGGTGTGGCCTGGGGATGTCACTGGCTGAAGGTGGATGGCAGGCCGCCTGCAGGGAGCCTGCCTGCTCTGAACCCAAACCCAAACCTGAACCTGGTGCCCCTGGAAGGTAACTCAGGCCAAGCAAGGGTGCCATCTGGGACCTGAGCCTCACCTCTCTATTGCTGCTCCTAGACTGTAAAGCACACAAGCTGTCCCATGTCCCAGAGCAGCTCTGTCAACAGAAAAACAGCAGGAGCCACTGAGAAGAGACCTTGTAGTAGCTGTGTTAAAAAAAAGTAAAAACATGTAAAGCTATTAGCAATATACAGTGTGATCAAAATACATGGCAAATGTTTAAGTTTAAAAAATTTATTATAGTAGCACTGGGCATGGTGGTGCACACCTGTAATCTCATCACTCAGGAGGCTGAGGCAGGAGGATCACAGAGAGTTTGAGGTCAGCCTGGTCTGCACAGACTATCTCAAAACCACAAAAACAATTTATTATACCAAAAGACACATTTCCATGAGTCCTCCTCAGAATCCTCTCCCTCACTTCGAGCACACTTACCCCATCACTCTTGCCTCTTTCTGAAGCAGTTCTGGAAGTGCTCTTCCGTGAGTTTCTTTAGGAGGTGTGATCAAAAACAGATGCTGTTGGGGCGGGGATTTAGCTCAGTGGTTCCAGCGCCTGCCTCGCAAGCACAAGGTCCCGAGTTTGATCCTCAGAACCAAAAAAAAAAAAAAAAACACCAAAAATCAAACGCTGTTGCCGAGTACCATGCAGAAAGGTAGGAAAGGTAGGTCGTAAACACATGCAGTGTGTCCTCATCCACCCTGTTCACCAGATCCGGTACCATGCGACTGCTGGCTCTTCCCTAAAACAAAAATGACCACGAAAAGAGAACAGTTTGATCGCATTCAGGACGTCAAGGCACCCATGACAATGCAAGTAAAGACACAAGAGAGGACTTACAGAGCTGCTCTGGGCAGTGGCAAGGGAGATGGGATAAGTGTGTAAGAAGTGAGGGAGAGTATTTTTGAGGGGTACCGGGGATCGAACTCGGGACCTTGCACTTGTGAGGCAGGCAGCAGAACCACTGAGCTAAATCCCTGGCCCACGGAGAGTATTTTGAGGAGGATTAATAACAGTTTGTCTTTTACTGTCAAAAAAGTAAACACCATATTTTTGATCATACTTTGTATACCTTCCTCCTCCCAGTACTGGGGATTGAGCCCAAGTTCTTAACAATGAGCTACGTCCCCAGTCTCCCCCATTTTTTTTTTTTGTTAAATTCTTTATTGGTACATTGTAGGTATACAACACAATTACATTTCTCATTGGGACTTGTGCCTTTACATGATGCATCTTGGTTCTTATTTTTTCCCCATTCCTAGCCCTCCCTTCACCCCCTCCACCCTTCCCTATTTACAAAGACTT